CTAGAAAACCAGTATTTTGGTGAAAAGCCATGCCCAACAGAAGAACCTTTTGCAGAAGAATCGACCATGGCCCACACTGTCCACTTATTTTTGGAGGACCCAAACAAGAGGCTGTTTTAAATTTTGAAATACACCCTCAAAACAAAAAAGCTTGCCTGTCTCAAGTATATGTCCTATTAAGTTAATCATCCTGGAATTATAATTGGTTAAAATAGTCAGAGCATTCTCAAAAATCCTTATTTCTCTTCAAAAAAGTATCATCTGCCATTTTTTTAATTCTTCCGTCAACTTATACTGTGACATTCTGTCATATGTAGATAAGTCCTGGATTTTATTTCAGTCTATATTCCTACCTTGTATAATAATAATAAAAAAAACTTTCCCCAAACAAGCACCTCCCCATATGTATTAAGATTACAGTTCCTAGAATTCTCAATCATCGAGACGTTAGGCCAAAAACATCATGGTCTCTACCTGGACATTCCAGTTTCCTGGGTCTTCTAGTTCCTGCCCCACAGTCCCTATATCAGAGGTCTTCAAACTTGGCAGTTTTAAGACTTGTGGACTTCAACTCCCAGAATACTCCAACCAGCTATGGTGGCTGGAGAATTCTGGGAGTTGAAGTCCACAAGTCTTAAAGCTGCCAAGTTTGGGGACCCCTGCCCTATATAGTTTCCAAGACATGCAAATATACCCCATGTCTAGACCTCCCCGGGCCCAACCAAGAAATCCCCTCCTCCCATCAGTCTTTCCAATTCTTCTAATACTACCTTTGACCCAGAATTTACTGACGTCAGTGGTCAGTGGTCAGTATGGGCCACACTCTCATAGATAGCCCACTTTTTACTTTTAGCCTGCCCAGGAGTGACAGGCACATCGGGGAACCGCCTGTTTGTTTATCTTCCTCTTCAGAATTGTTTATTTTGATGGTACATCCTTCTGGTCCAGCCCAGATTGATCTTTCACCTTTCCACATCCTGTTTGCTGGAGAAAATTGTGCAAGGATGGGCAGATGTGTAGCAAAATCAGGACCATAGTACTTAAAAATATTCTGGGCAGTTTTTATCAGGAGACAGGCAATATTTAAATCTGTTATACCTAAGCAATTTGCAATACATGGCTATTTTTTTTTCTTTTAACTAAGGACGAAGTAAGCTTTCAGCCCTATGAACACAAGAGCTCTTCATGACCATAGTTATGACTACTGATAAAACCCTACAGTACATATTGTCCAAGGAAAATCTCCTGCAGAGCAACTCAGTAAGGTAACAGCTGTCTAGCCTAGTACAGACATCGCACAGATTAGTTTCCTACAACCTGGAGCCCTCTAAATGTACTGGGATTTTCCCATAATTCCCTGCAAGGTTGGAGATGATGAATATAGTTATCTAGTCACCAGAATGGAAAAGCTTCATACACACACGAAACTGTTAAAGCTAGAAGGCTTCAATCAAGATCTTATAAAAAACATAATTACAAATTTATCTTCCCTTTTAAAACACATTGAATGTTACATACTCCTACAAAACTGAAAAGGAATACTCCAAAGTAAAATCTCAAGTGGCCTTTTAAAAATGTTCTTGAATCTTACCTGGGCACATGTCCTCTTTTGCATAACATTTAACATTTCACATATATGAACATATAGTTACATCCACACCAGGGGTGAAATCCAGCAGGTAGCAGAAATTTTGAGCAGTTCAGAGAACCGGTAGCGGAAATTTTGAGTAGTTCGGAGAACTGGCAAATACCACCTTTGGCTGGCCCTAGAGTGCGGTGGGAATGGAGATTTTGCAATATCATTCCCCCAGGAGTGGAGAGGGAATGGGGATTTTGCAGTGTCCTTCCCCTGGAGTGGGGAAGGAATGAAGATTTTGCAGTATCCTTCCCCTACCACACCCACCAAGCAACATCACACCCACCAAGCCATGCCCACCGAACCAGTAGTAAAAAAAATGGATTTCACCACTGATCCACACATTTCTGTTCTGAAGGGTGATTCTTCTTCCAGGATCTTAGATTCCTCTAACTTTTATTTTAATCTGAGAATCACCTTCTATTTAGTTTTCTCAAAGCTTGTCACTGCAACAATCTAGCACTGACTCAATAATCCTTCTTTTCTCAGCAAAGGTTTTCAATTAGTCTTTTTACTCCATATATATTTTTGGAATTCTAGGGACAATTATGGCAAAAGTGTAGCTCAAGTCAAGAAAAGGTCTACAATCTTCTGTTTTTCAAAAATAGTACATCAAGTGAATATGACACTGGCTCAGTTTACACATCATGGCTGCTTTAAACATGGTTTCTTGAACAAGCCACAGTGGAGCTTGGTTCATACCACATGCTAAACCATAAAAATTTACAAACCAGAACACTTGGCTTCATGTAAAGTACCATACAAAGCAAATTATAGCTTAAACAGGCCATCAATAGTATCATTCCCGAGTTTTTGACAGAAATCTTTAGCAGCCCTGCTTGGAGATGTTTGTGATTAAACAGAAAAGTTTTATACCCATCTTATTTTTCATTGAGCTACGGCTACTGAATTACTAAGAGCAATTCCCTGGTTACCACCAATTAGACCCATTTATTGAGAAGAACTTTCAACAACTTGGCAATCGGATACATTCTGCATAATCTGACAACTACTAAACTGAATTAGCCCCACCAAACAAACGGTAAATCTAAGCACTGCATAAAATTTTCTGTGGGGGGAGGAAGTCATACTATACACATTAATTGCTTTCAGATTTGTTGATTATACTGTACTGTCCTAAGAGGAACATCAGGCTGTATATTGGCAGTTCTTTTAAAGGAAATTATGCAGATGGGCTATTTGGCCTTGGAAAGCCACTCAAAAAAAAAAAGAGCAGAAAAGACTTCCAAAGGAGACCTCTTAGATAAAACCAGTCTGAGTTCTTGCATACCCGACAATGAGCCTCAAGAATACTCTTACCACTGCTTTTATGTAAACTAAATTCAGGGTGCCTCAGCTGCTAAATAAGAGCAGAGGTCTCTTCTGCCACCCTGCTTGGGTACATTCTCATCAAGGTCTCTGGTAGCTCTTACAGCCAGCAAACAACCAGGCCCTTGAAGGAACTGTCTGACAAATCAATGAGAAACTGCTCTGGAGTACTGGTGGAGGAAAATAAAAAATGTATCTGATCAAGCATAGGTGTGTGGCAGGGGTGAAATCTACTTACCTTCCCTACCGGTTCGGAAGTGCGCATGCGTCATGTGTGATTTTGGACCCTCTGTGTGCAGAGGGTAAAAAACAGGTTACTTCCTGGTTAAAACCAGGAAGTAACGACGTCCAGGCGGGTGGGTGGAGCCTTGCACTGCCGCCACTACCGGTTCTCCGAACCACCCGCCGCCACTGCCTACCGGTTGGCCCGAACCGATGCAAACTGGTAGCATTTCACCCCTGGTGTGTGGCCATGTTTGAGCATACCCTACAGTAATAAAAGAGGTGAAACATGTCTAATTCTCCTCCCTTAGTGTGTTGGAAGGCTGTTGCCCAGCAACCTTATTCAGGCATTGACAAACTTACCATCCATCAATTGCAAAAAGCAGCTTTACTTGGAACAGTTTACATCCTGAAACAATACTTTTAACACCATCAGACAACAATATTGCCTATCCCAGGGATGGCTAACCTTTTTGCCGTTGCATGCCAAAAGCAGGGGTCGCGGGGGGGGGGGTGTTGCTCGCATGTGTGCCCACATCCATAATTCAATATGCCTCACCCCCACCACGCATGCGTGTGTGACCCCCCCCGCACTCCCCCCACTTTTGGCACATGATGACACAGTGGGCCCTGTAGGCCTGTTTTTCGCTCTCTCCAGGCTCCAGAGGCTTTCTTGGAGCCTGGGGAAGGTGAAGAAGGTCTCCACCCCCCCGGAGGCTCTCCGGAGGCCAGAACAGCCTTTTTCCCGACTTCCGGTGGGCCCGGAAGGCCCCAAAATCAGGTGGCCAGTGCACACATGCACACTGGAGCTGAACTAGGGCAATGTTCACGTGCCCACAGATATGGCTCCGCGTGCCACCTGTGGCACGTGTGCCATAGGTTCGCCATCACAGGCCTATCCCAAATCCTTGGGAAGGACTCAATAGATGGACTAAAATGCCGAATCTAGTCTAAACATCTGTCTGATTATGTGACCAACTATAATAGTAATAATAAACAGAGCTGACAAAGAATAAGCTACATAAGAGCAATAAGTAGTGTTTAATATTCTCAGCTCTGGCCATTTGAGGGTTTTAACATTGGCATTATCAAGATAAAAGCTTCTACAAGAGATCTCTGAAATTTTAATAGTAATGGTAGGCAAGAGGAAATAATTTGTTAAATATTTGTTGTACTGATTCTTTTGTTCGATATCAATTTAACCACATTATATCCTCTCAAAGAAGTATGGAAATTATAGCTTTGCAGATTATGAAAATTTCACAGAATCAACAGCTTCACATACCATTTCAATTATTTTCTTATTGTTTACTAGCATTATTATTATCTAATAAAGCAAATATTATATTGGTAAGTTTCACATATCATTGAAACTCCAAGCTAATTCATTCTCCATGATATAATCAGACATCATGCTAACTGATCCTTTACCTAGCATAATGCGACAATGCTTCATTTTCTTTGGTCTTCAAAGCATGAGTGCCTAATAGCACAGAAAGACAAACATTAAATCATCCTATACTAAAGCCACATTGCCTTAATGTAACAAAGTCCTTCCTTCCCATTCCCATGGCCAACCAAAGCAATGCTCATCAGTATATATGAAGTTTATTGAAAGAGCAATCAAATGATCTGGCATGGGACCAAAATAAAATATTGAATAAAATAGGATGCCCAATAGATATAATATTAAAGCATTCAGAACAATGTACCAGTAGAGTCCATAATTGATTATGATAGAGTTTGTCACATTAACTTAGGAGAAGCATTTTCCCCACTGCACAAATGCTAAATAATAAAAGGAAAATTGTACCTCAATCTCAAATGTGTGCAGGAAAGATTCTTCTTTAAAGGGTTCTGTTTTTAGACGTTCTGCAATAGAAATATCAAAGTAAACAGGGAGAGTTTTGAAGAAGCCACGCCTGCAAGCTCTCTACTGCTGTTTAGATTTGAAAGAAAATTCAGATAGTCACATCCACATCTGAAAATCTGTAAAAAGATAAGCCAATATTTTCACCAGGTGTCAAGCCCAATCAACTTGACATCACAGTCCCCAATAACAGGCACACATAACCTACCCGGTATAAACCTTCTAGCCGTATCAATACATGGGCTATCACACACATGGACATATGCACTTACTGCTGAACTCAAAGATTAAAATTCAATCTCTGTTTTGACAGAGACAAATGGGTCACCTGTGGATAATCGTAAATCCCTAAGGGTAACTGATATCTCCTACGTATATAAAAATCGGAGGGAACAAACACTGCTGGCATGTGGTTGGATATGTGGAAAAACAACATGGAATACTAAATGAAGTCTTAGACCACATTCCATCCAGTATCTACCCACATTTTGGTGAGAAGGAGTGGAGGAACAAGTAGGAACATTTGATAAATAATTTGTGAATTGGTTAGCTTAACAGTACACTATACACTTACAAGTAATCCTCAACACTGTCAAACTAGTTACTAAGTCTGCATTACTATTAATCTTCTCATTGTTCCTATCACCCATCTCCTCCCACTTATGACTGTATGACTGTAACCTTGTTGCTCGTATCCTTAAGATTTATATTGACTGTTTCCCTATGACTATCATTAAGTATTGTACCTTATGATTCTTGATGAATGTATCTTTTCTTTTATGTACACCGAGAGTGTATACACCAAGACATATTCCTTATGTGTCCAATCACACTTGGCCAATAAAGAATTCTATTCTATTCTATTCTATTCTATTCTATTCTATTCTATTCTATTCTAATTCTATTCGCTCTTGAACTGCTGTTTTGTCTCAGAGAACCAAACTCATCAAAACCTCAACCCCAATTCTTGCCTTACTGGCATGAATCTTTCAGTTCTCCAGATGGAAAGAATTAGAAGAGCCAATATCTCAAGCAGAAACATGAGTTTGAATACAACTTTATGGTGGAAAGAATGACGGAAAAGCAGTTTCCATTTGCTCCAAATTCTTAGTGGATCTTCGCACATGTGAAAGTAAAAGATGACCTAGGCTTCCTTAGAAAGTAAACAGCACAAACTTAGTCCCGGCAAACCTCTTTAATTCACATGGCTGTAAATTACTTTCATTTACAGTCTGCAAGGCTTGATAAACAGTTTTTCAGAGGAAGGTTATCAACACCCACCTATCTTACGTGGAACGCTGCCAAAGACCTAATTTCCAGACGCAGGACAAGGCCAAACTTGGCACAGAGTCACAAACAGAATTTTCAGATCATGAATTGGCCAGATGAACTAATTGCTTCCTGCAAAAGCTCACATCCCGTTTGCTTCTCTTTTATGTCTTATGGGAGGGGCCAATCATCTCCAAACCTTACTCCCAAGTCGACCCTGTTTCCTTAATTGTTCCTGTCTCCTGGTAGCTCTGCGTATGCGCACACTGGGAACAGGCTCACGCTGTTCTTCTGCCTCGCTGATGTCAGACTCCGGAGACTCCGGAGGCAGCAAAGAACTACCAGATGGCCTTGGCCCCCTCTCTACCTCTGACTCAGAGCCATCGTCTGAGCTTTCACCAGACTCCAGGACTGGCCCATGTTCCTCCCCAACCTCCTCACTGTCCGAATCTGCTGCCAACTCTGCTGGCCGCTGGCGGGCCACAACACCCTCAGGGCCAGCATTGATGAAGAAGAAAAGCTTTAAAGCACAGTGGAGACCAAACAGCATCTCACCTAGACTGAGAGTAGCTCCGCTCTCCCGATAGTCTTCAATCTCTGCATCCTTCTGGAGCAGCAAAGATGCCAACTCCTGTACCTGACCGTGTAAGGCCAAACTCATTGCCATGAGAGGCCTTAGAAGATGGCGGGACATCTGTCATAGAGAAAAAAGGGCATAAGTAGCAGCAGTGATAGCAGAGGGCCAAGCATCAGGTAACAACCATTTATAACTGATGTTTCATCTCAACATTTTTAGAGAGGGCTGCTATAGGAGACCAGCAAAAGTAATATGTAAGTCTGAAAAGATTTCTCTATTATTTCTTTGCAGACCACTGCATGTACTTCCTGCTTTCTTGTTGTCTTCTGGAAGAGTCTATCGGCCACATAGAAGAGGGTTGTTGTTTTTTCTCCTGCAAAAAGGCATCTCATAATTCAGATATGGTCTCTGCTTTGTCCAACATCATCCAAAAGGGTACGTAGGAAGAAATAATGCAATTATAACTCAAGGAGGGAAGAGATGCTAAAATCAAAAGGAATCACTACATTTAAAATAGGATGGCGCCATGGATATGTCTCTTCTATGCACTCATAACTTTTGAATACTATTATAGTAATTGGTGTTGCTAAGATTCATCTTTTCCCTGAAAAATCCTAAATTCTTTTTCATCCTGAATAATAGGGGGAAATGTATTAAGAAGCAAAAACCAACAGCCCTTGCTTATCCTTCTGTAATATTCCAGATCTGCCTCCTCCAATTTAGTTCTCTCCAGTTGTTTTAATATATTGTAAACCCTATCAGCCAGCATGGCCAGAATCCTTTTAAAATAATACTATCAAGTCTTGCAAGATCGCAAAACTAAAAAAAGTCGTTCTATACCGAAGTCACCACATCTCTCTATTAAAAAAAAAAAGGCATGTCTCTTATTTCAATATGAGTGTAATAGTGGAACTCAGAATACAAGGAATCCAGATGTTTGGGAACCATCAAAAGTACATTACCTGAGCATGGAGCACCCCCTGGTGTACCAACGGCAAAATTAAAATTAATTAAACATTAAGTATGGCATATTTATCCATTTACTTTAGCAGAGTTGATTTGAAACATCATCCGCTTGCCATTTTCTTAGAAGATAGAATGATAAGGCTGGAAGGGGCCTTGGAGATCTTCTAGCCCAACCCTCTGTTCAAGGCAGGAGAGCTTAAACCGTCCCAGTTAAATGGTTGTCCAGTCTATTTTTGAAAACCTCTGCTGATGGCACACCTACAACTCTAAGAGGCAAGCTATTCCATTGATTAATTGTTCTGTCAGTAAATTTCTTCTTATTTCTAGACTAGCTGTATCCGGCCACACGTTGCCATGGCTCAGTCTTGTGGGTATACAATATTTTTTGACCGAGTGCCAATAATTTCCCTCTGTGAACATTGAAATGGAATCGTAAAATATTTAGTATAGCGTGTGTTGCTTTTACGTCCAACAGATGGCACTGTTTTTCAAAAAAGCATGCTTTTACCTGTCACAGGTGTGACATCTATATAATATAGGTATATAAAAACACCCGCGTATTCGAATGCAACGTTGTGTCAAAATTTCAAAGCAATCGGTGAAGAACTTTCGGAGATTTAAGATTTTGAACAAACGAACATTTACATTTTTATTTATATTGATTGGATCATTCTTTAACAAGCTTCCACCCATTACTTCTTGTCCTGCCCTCTGGTATTTTGGAGAATAAATCACTCCCCTCTTACGAATGAAGGCAAATATTTGTGTCCCAGGATAATGTTGCAGAATCCAATCTGGGTCAGGCACCAGGACCAGAGGTTTAGTCTTCCGAACTTTCGGAGTTGTGCTGGAGCCCATCCTCAGGGAACTTCTCTCTACCAGTTCTATGTATGTATGTATGTATGTATTAAATTTCTTTGCCGCCCAATTCACTACAAGGAAATCTGGGCAGCTTACAACATCAAAATAAAACCATACACACACCTACACACGGTATATATATCGTACATAGCGTAAAAACATAGGGATATGGCAGGAGTTGGTTCTAATTACCTTTACTACCGGTTCGCAACAGGACCGCGTGTGTGTGCTTGCTTTGCTCACTCGCGATCTTCTGCGCATGTGCAGAAGCTTCTGCACATGCGCAGAACCTGATGAAGGCAGGGCCGGTGGGCAGAGCCTCCCGCCAGTTTTACCACCAGTTCTTGTGAACCGGTCCGAACTGGAGGCAACCCATCACTGGGATATGGTGATTTTATACATACACATACTCATATGTATAAAATCACCATATCTCTATGTTTGTACACTAAGTTCTGTATTACACTAAAAAAACACTATTCTGACAATTGATGATCTTCTGACAATTGATTATCAGTGTAGCCTTGCTCCTAATTTCACAATGGCTCATTTAGTTAATAAGGTTTGCTTTATCTTGACTTCGCATGTTATATAGAACCCTGGTGGCGCAGCAGACTAAGGCACTGTTATTAACCTCAGCTGCCTGCAATTACTGCAAGTTCAAATCTCACCAGGCTCAAGGTTGACTCAGCCTTCCATCCTTTCTAAGGTAGGTAAAATGAGGACCCGGATTGTGGGGGCAATAAACTGACTTTGTATAAATATACAAAAGTATGAAGGCTATTGCTTAACACGTTGTAAGCCGCCCTGAGTCTCCGGAGAAGGGCGGCATATAAATAAATAAATAAAAATATGAAAGCCAACTGTAGGCTATTTAGTAAACCATAGGTAAACAAGCCATTTACTACTGGCAGAACTAGAGCATCTTCCAACAGGCAGGGTTGAACCAAAAGCTACAAATAGAAAAGTGACACTTCAATATATTACATCAATGTTGTCTTTAATTTGTGCCTATGCAGCAATTCCAAATCCAAGGAGATTTTAGGAATCTTCTGATAGCCGAACATCATCATGTCCCTAGAACAGAAATTTTCAACTTTTTCTCCTATTTGAAAACATCATTCTTCAACTCACCATCTCAAGAGGTGCTGCCCCACAGTGAAAATCCCAGTAGAAGGGCAATCCTAGAAGTTCACTCTTCACATGGAGTAAAAGTGTGCCGGAGCTAAGCTGACAGGAGAAGGAGACGGAGCTGTTCTCTTTCCCTTCCAAAAGAGGAGATAACAGGTTCTGCAGGCAGTTCAGAATGGAGGCTACAGGAGCAGTTAGCCGTTTATTCAGCTCCTACGTAAAATGAAATAATAATAATAATATTCTTCAAAGAACATAACATAATCTCATTTCATAGCTGTGTATGTAAGCACCTAAACTGTCCAGAAGCTTCAGAGTCCATACTAAGACATCGCTGGGAGACCAGATTCAATCATTTCCTTTTTTAAAAAATTATATGCTGCCCAATCTAGAACTCAAAAACTATATTTTTGTACAGATTGGACATCTTTCTTAATATTTGGTTTGTTTTGGGAATAACACATTGGTTTCATTTTATAATTTCATTTCAGACCTGGATGACTTTTTCCTAGTGAAGTGGAGAAAGAAGATGACAATTTATGTAGCATCTGCTTCTTGTAATTCAGAATTACTTCTCTGCAGATTCCTTTTCCTAGGATTTTCCTTTAAACTTAGGCTAATAGCCTACCTGCTGAAGTGGACTGATCGGTTCTTTCCAGCTTCCCCCCCTCCCTCCCACCCACCCACCCAGCTACCCACCCTTCCTTAGTTGGATATCTTAAACCAGGGGTCCCCAACCCCGGGCCATGGCCCATTCGGAACTGGGTCATACAAGTGGCAGGCAAGCATTCGCATGCAGCTCCACTTGCACAAACGGCAGGCTCGCCCACTTGTGGGTGAATTTCCATTTGTGCAAGCAGAGGGTGCGCATGCACACCGCTTAAGCAAATGGAGCTGTTATGTGCTAGTGGGCATCCCTGCTGCTCACACAGAACCATCTCCTCTCCCTCCCTGCCGGTCCACCAAACCAGAAAGTTTGGGGACCACTGTCCTAAATTACAAACTCTACTATCCAATAACATATAGGCTGTCAATTTTTCAAGCTATATTACAATACATCTGGGAAGCATCAAACTGGAAAAGAGGTAGTCCTCAACTTATTACCGTAACTGGGACCAGAATTGACATTGCTCAGCAAGGCGAGTGAGTCACACCCAATTTCTGCAGTTGTTAAATGAATCATGAGATCATTAAGTGAATCCAACACTCTTTATTGACATTGCTTGTTGGAAGACATCCAGGAAAGTCTCAAATGGTGATCATGTGACCGTGGAATGTTGCAGCCATCATAAATAAGTGCCAGTTACCAAAAGCCCTAATTTTGATCATGTGACTTTGGGGATGCTGAGACAGTTGTAAGTGTGAGAACTGGTCATAAGTCATTTTTTCAGTGCCTTTGTCATTTTGAATAGACACTAATGAACGGTTGTAAATCGAGGACTACCTTTAGAATAAAATACCCTGAATGATTTCATAATTTTAATTTTTTACTTACCTTTGACCTCTGTTGTATTACTTCAGTATTTGCACTTTCATACCACATATTACTGAGGTCAGAGAGGAGCAAGATATAGCTAGAATCACAAAACCAAGCCTTAGCCATCATTCTGGTAGACTCAGAAAAACAAACTGAAGCCCAAGGCTGCAGAAGGAGTTTAATCTGTGGGTCATCTGAAGTCTCCATCCTGTAAACAATAATATCCTTCAATTTTATTTCTTTAAATATGTTATACATTGAAGATACTGGCAAAGCACTGCAAACGCCTATCATAGCATGCCAAAGTACAGGAAAACGTAGTTTTAAAATCTATATTTTTATATTGAAGATGAAGGTCTGAGTTTTCATTCTAAAAAAACATGCTTTGAATTCTGGTATAATTCATTAAAAGCTCTCAATGTATTGTAAATTCGGATATATAACATGGCTTACTCCAAACTTGCCTGCATTTTTTGTTTGTTTTTCTTGGCATAAATAGATGCAAAACCGTGCAGCATTAAAATATATTCCTGCAATCACAAACTAATGCCTAGTTATAGTTTTAATATCACCACCAAGTAGATTCCTGTGTTGTAAGATAAAATGGCAGTTAATAGTCTATAGCAGGGGTGAAATGCTCCCGGTTTGGACCGGCTCGGGAGAGTAGGTAGCGATGGCAGCGGGCAGTTCGGAGAACCAGTAGCAAAAATCCCTTCCCCCCCCCCAGCCTCCAGCTTTCTTACCTTCGCACGCCTGCCTTGCTTCACTTGCTGTAATCCCTGCAATCCATTACATCAGCAAGCAACTGAATCTCCCTGCCTGCAATCAAGCTCATGGTGAGCAGCTCTTTCTGCCTGCCTGCAAGTTTTTTTCCTCTTTGGGAGCTTAAAAAAAATAGTTAATTGGGGTTTTTTTAGTCGTTCTTTTTTTAGACCTAGCCATTTAAAGTTTAGGAAGTTTTAAATTTAGCTGTTTTTATATAAAAATAAAATAAAATAAAATAATATTTGTGCACCTTTCTGAGATTTAGTGTGTTTCTGTAGTGTTTCACTCTAACTACACAAACACACAAAATCTCACAAAGCTGTATGTGGAATTTTGTGTGTGTAAAGTGTGAAAGTTGGTTTTTTGGACTTTTTGTGGCTGTGTGAGGTTCCTGCTTGTTGCAGGGGCCATTTTGCCCCTGCTTTTACATCGTGGGTGAGCCAGTTGTGTTGTGTGTGTGTAAAGTGTGAAAGTTGGTTTTTTGGGCTTTTTGTGCCTGTGTGAGGTTCCTGCTTGTTGCAGGGGCCATTTTGGGTCTAGCACAGCTGCTTTTACATTGTGGGTGAGCCAGTTATGTTGTGTGTTGTGTGTGTGTAAAATGTGAAAGTTGTTTTTTGGGGCTTTTTGTGCCTGTGTGAGGTTCCTGCTTGTTGCAGGGGTCTAGCACAGCTGCTTTTACATTGGGGTGAGCCAGTTGTGTTGTGTTGTGTTATGTGTGGTGTGTAAAGTGTGAAAGTTGGTTTTTTTTTTTGGGCTTTTTGTGCCTGTGTGAGGTTCCTGCTTGTTGCAGGGGCCATTTTGGGTCTAGCACAGCTGCTTTAAAATTGTGGGTGAGCCAGTTGTGTAGTGTTTTGTTTTGTAGATTAAAAAAAGCAAAGAAGGCATTGACTTGGCGACGCCCACCTGACCAAAAAAGCCACGCCCCCCAGTCACCTGACCAAAAAGCCACGCCTACTAATTAAGCCCTGCCCACAGAACCGGTAGCAAAAACTTTTAGATTTCACCCCTGGTCTATAGGCACAGCCTACAAATAATTATGTTCTGATGATGCTTTACTGTCTGGAACTACATACTTCCAGTGCGAATTTAGCAGTTCCCTTTATGAAAGTTTAAAATTTTTTTGATAAACATTACTAATTTAGGGAGTTGCCTCCAGATATTCCCCAGATCTACCAGTTTGAAAGTCATCTGACCTAACAACTGTTGATTATAGTGCTTTACTGTAATCAGTTTTCTGTTTTTACTGTTTCATATTTTCTATGTTTGTTTTAATTTAGTTATTTTTATTTTATCAATTTTGTCTGCAAATCACTTTGGCATTCTTTTAATGAAAAGCAACATAAAATATTGTAAATAAACAGTAAAACACACCACATTATAAAAGGTACACAAAGCAGGTTTTAAAAAGTGGTGAATGAAGATAGGGTTTAAAGCTTAAGGGGGAAAAAATCAGAAACTTATGGAACAGCAAGAGTAACTGACTGCTATTTGTGTTTCCATTGTTTGCAATAGCTCACCCAGCAATATACATTCTAAAAATAAAATTATTTGTAGCTTGCTCTTATACAATTGATTCAGAGTGACATGCCTAGGAGTGCACATTTTGACAGTGTAGGAGGATTTGATTAGTTCTTCATTAGCTCCAATTAAATCCTGTCATCTGCGATCAAATTAGTTTGATTGAAAATACAACCCGGGTAACTCTATAATTAAGGGGCAGCAACCGAAAAGCAAAAATAAAGAAATAAAGAATCTAAGCCATGTTGGATTTGAATGACTAAAAGCAGGGGAAGTAACCCAGAGAAAGAAATATTTGATTTATATAACTGCTTTCCTTTCAAAACCTCCAAAATCCTTCTGAAGTCAGTAATTTTATAGACCATCAAAATCACAAATTAGTACTGGTAGTTTCTTAGCTTACAACCACAACTGAGCCCAATTTTTTTGTTGCTAAGTGGAAAATTTGTTAAGTAAATTTTGACCTTTTGTGCAACAGTTGCTAAGTGAATCACTGCAGTTGTTAAGTGAATAACCTGGCTGTGTTAACCCAAAGGTGCTTGGATGACTGAGAATCTCCATAGAAACCTGGTTGTTCAGTGAATTTGGCTTCCACATTACATTGACTTTGCTCGTAAGAAGGTCACAAAAAGTGATCACAAGACCTGGGATACTGCAACCATCATAAATGTGAGTCAGTTGTTAGGCATCCAAATTTTGATCCCGTGACTATGGGGATATTGCAAGCGTCGTAAGTGTGAAAAACGGTCATAAATTACTTATTTCAGTGCTGTTGTAATTTTGAACTCTTGTAAATCGAGGACTACCTATACACAGTACTCAAAGTGCCTAGAACTTGTAGTGAGGAAGGAAAAAGATGAGAATGATGAGAAAGGGGGTGGGGGGTAAAGATCTAAAAATTTGCATTTACAGGCAGTACAGCTTTGAGGGGAATTTTGAAGATATTCTGAGAGCAACAGATGTTGAGATTATTTCAGGCTGGACTCGCACCAAATTCATCTTTAAAGTGCTTCTCAAACGTTTCCAAGAGAAGGAAAAGGCAAGAACCAAGTGGGGGTGAAGCAGGAAAAGGGGGCTAGGAAAAGCAAAAGAAAGGGAAGAAATCCTACCGGCAAGGTCAGGTAACGGGAAGGAAGATCCAAAGACAGGTCGCAATAACAAAACCTCCCTTGGCTTTGCTCTCACAGCATTTTGTCAGCAAAGGCAGAATTGCAGCCGCGAGGAGGGTTTTTTAAAACAGCGTTTTCCAAGATCCATAGTGTACTCCTCCCGGATGCAGCCTTACCAAAGGTTTTAGCCATTAGAAACTACCATTCCCACAATTCCCTTATCTCCCAAGGCATGCCGGGAGTTGTAGTTAGATGGAAAGGGACGTCACTGAGTCAATGTAGGGCAGGGCGGGTAATATTGCGTGCGTTTGTTGTTTGTTTTGTATTGAATTGTTTTGTTTGCTTAAGAATTAGCGATGTGGAGGCAGGAGAAGATATTTCAAATATTGCACTTCTGTACTTTGCTGGCTGTCCTGCCTTATAATATAAACATAAACCCTCCCTCCACACGGAGTACCGGTACGACTGAGATTACTCAGTGGGAAGCGGGGAGAGGTCTTGGAAACAATCCTATTGCTCCTGCTGTGCCTTGAGGCTGTTTGCTACCTGACTCCTCTGACTAAAATTGGATGCAGTACATTCATATGCTCTTTAAAAACAGGCACGAAGATAGCCCCTGAACGCCTCTAGTAAAATAATAGTAAAGCTCAGAACCAAAAAAAAGATGCAGCCTGCGCTAGTTCAGCGGTCCAGAAAGCAAGCTCTACTTTAATCCGAAAACCAAAGTGAAAACGTTTTAGCATTTAACTGCTAGCTGTAATGTGCTACTCGTTTAAAAGAGCAAAATAAAGCAGAACAAAAAGAAAAAAATGCTGTCTGCCTCAACTTTACTATCTAAATCTATTACAAATATTCTTTCTAATAATCCATAAACTTGACTGATTGACAAGATAAAAAGGATCTTGAAAAGTGACTCACTTGTTGAAAAAATGGTCCTGATGTGAAAAGCCAAATGTTCCAAGCTATTAGAAAATGACCCAAAAATGAGATTGTCACTACATTGGCATACTGTAAATCCTTCCTCCTCTGTTAACTTGTATTGCCAGTTCTTGGCTGGAAAATTTAGACAACTTTTTGTTGACAATAGTTCAGATTTTTGAAGCCGAGATCTGATAGTCCTATTGTTCATAATGGTATGTTTTGTGCTGTTATGTTTTCTATATTTTATGTGTTTTAAAATATGTAAAATAAATCATTAAATACATTTTTATTGTAAAACCCAATATACATAATTGCAGTGTGTAGGACCTTCAGAATTATTGGATTTTGAGACAATTTCAGCCTAAGTCAGTAAAGATGATTGTAATATAACCTAACAACACTGGGAGGAATACCTCTGTTCTGGGCAATCTGAGTGATAAATAAAGGTTTTCATTGAATAATTAAAGATTCAGATCTTTAATGAAAGAGAAGTACAAAAAACCCCACAGATTCATTATCCAATACAGGCACTTTAATATAATTGGGCTTAGAATTCTGGTCTAGGTTTGCACACTGTCCATTTTAGTGTGGAGTAACTATTCACTCAAGCGGAAAAATAAAATCTCTTAATGGAAGTTGGGGAGATGGAAATAAACAAACAAATATCTCAGGCAAAGAAATGCTAAAGGAAGAATTTTAAAATACATGTTTAACAAAGATTGTCACATTATTTTTGTCTCCAAGGCAGTTTGCAAACAAAATGTTTGAAATTTCAAAGTAATTTATATAGTCTTTGTAGAATATTTTTATAGGAAAGATGATTCTTTTTAAATCAACAGAGAGGAATTATCTCATGAACCATTGAGCTACCATGCTTATGATTCTCCAAATCCCCTTGCATAATTTTAAATTTCTTCTCTGTTTCCAGCTCTATTTCTGACTCCAGTTTCACTGTTTCCCTTTTCACCAGTAGATCTGTGGTTTCTTCATCTAAGTGGTGCAGTTCTTTGGATAACGGATAATGATTCATAGTTTCCTGTTCACTTTTCACAAGGGGACAGAGAAGACAGAAAGGAAACCCTTTACACCATGATGCCAGCAAATGCCTTTGTGGGTTTAAAGGTAGTTTACATCTTTGTGCAGAATCCTCTTCTTTTCTGTGTTGAAGCGAGTTGCTTCCGGTTTCTAGATTTCTTGCTGACAAAGGGTTGAGTAGTCCACGCTCTTGCAGAGTACCTTGAAAAAAATGATCGTATCAATTCAAAATATCCATAAATGTAGATTGTAATTATGAGGTAAAATTTCCTTTTTCATTGTTTGTAAAATAATATAAATTGCATCTTTTGGCCCTCAAAGCAGTTTGCAATGTTAAAACTGTGTAAGTGCTGTGCTAAGCAAATAAAAGAAGTCCATAAGCAGCTAAGAATCAAATGTATAAAAATTTGGTTAAAAAATTGTTTTGACTTGCTGCCGTTAATAACAAGACCTTGCTAACATTTTAGGAGAGAATTTTTTAAAAGGTGACTCAATTGAGAACAGTATATCTTACAGTCTAGGCAAGTATACTTCTGTTCACTGAATGCAACATAATTATAGACCATCTCTAAAAAGCTTTGAGAAAACAACCTTCAGAATAACAGTCAAAATAACTTAAAATTAACAGTTACTCCCACTAATCAATAAATATACAAAAAATTTTCAGCAATATGACTAATCCAAAACTCTTACATGCAGCAATTATTGTCTCTGGCAATAACATTAAATTATGAATAATTAACTTTAGAAGACCTGTCTCAATAACTCATCAGAATAAGTAAATCTGTCTCCTCACCTGAGACTGTGTTTTCTAAGAAGAAGGATAGGAATCCAGTTATAAAAGAAGGAACCATCAACAAAGAAAGCAGAAAGAGGTCTAATGGGATATAGCCTGTAGAAAGAGCATCATTATTAATTTAACAATGTCATGTCCTGATGTTTTATATGAAACATTTCCCGCGTTGATCTAATTTAATCCGCAAGCAAAGAATTAAAAATAGAAGTGACAAAAGAAAAAGATATTTGTTGAAATAGAGCTTTTGCCTAGCAATTACATTTGAAAGGGAATTCCTAAATAATAATCCCACAGCCAAGAAGATCTAAATCTCCACAGAATGAGTGATAACACAAATAAAGTCCTTATCTGCACATCTTCACACTTAGTAAGCTTCATATGTGAAAAATAACATCTTCAACAATTTATCTAAAATCATTTATTTCTGTTTCTCTTTAATTTCAATATAGCTTAATTCAGCAGCCTGGATCAAGGGACGCTTGTTTGAAGGTTGTAAGTTATCTCATTATTATAAGTTTGTAAAGAATTACTTGTACTTTCAGAATGTATTAACACAGGCAGAGTTTACATGTACTGTCCAGATATTTTGATTATTATAACTCTTATTATAGGCCAGAATTAGAAATAGTCTCGCTGGTTGGGAATGAAACAAGTCATTAAAATAAAACATCTGGTTTAAAAAAAAATCATGCCTTTTTCATTTGTCTTGCTATACTTCTTATAGCTCTGAGCATGCAGAAATCCTCACCCCACTCCACCCCCAGCCAGTACCTGTGGTAAGGGATCCAGGTGCTCCAAACAGCCACTTTGGAACCAGAAGTCCCATGAACATGGTGAAGCCTACAATGAAGATATTCCTGCCCGAATCAATATCTGTGTATTGGAAGTAGGAGACACCGGTGCCCACAGCTACACTGTATGTTACGCAAAGCACTCCTCCTGAAGACAGCATTGGCGATCAAAGATACCCCATGAATGAAAAAAGCAGAACAGAATTCATTTGATGTTAGGACAGAGTAGTAGAATAAAGAGTAATTTTAGATGGCCATTTCCTGGTGCTACCAAGCAACAGGCATTCTGCTTTTCCATCTTTTCCTGCCTAACAGATCTTTTTATGGTAAGAAAAAAAAAGATGGAAAAATTCTAATGGCTGTTGCAAATAGAATTACAAATGGAAATCAGTAATAATACCTCTGTTCCCATAGTATCCCATAAATAAGACAGAGTGAGTTTAAAAAATTGTCAGGAAGCACCCACAATCAAGGACTGTACCCCTGACATTTTCTGGGAGTCGAGCACTGCTAAAAATGACCATGCAGAGTCCCTGTCTCCAGAAATAAAGTTCCAGAATTATCTGTTTTTTAAATTTTGGTTTATGTACAGCAACCAAGCAGAATAGGTACAGACTCCCAACTGATAGTTAAGACTACAGAAACAACAATTGCAACCAGCCTGCCTTCTATAGAAGACCTGTATATTGTGAAGGTCAGAAGGGGGGCTGAGAAGATATCTGCAGACCCCTCACACCCTGGACATAAACTGTTTCAACTCATCCCCTCGGGACGGTGGTATGGGACATTGCAGGCCATAACAACTGGGACAGGTTTTTTTCCCTCGTGCCATCACTCTGCTGAACACCTAATTCTCCCAATGCTGTCTAATGTCTATGTTTATTTACCAACGCAGTATGGCTGTAGCATTATTATTGATCTTATTATCTTCCCCATTATTATTGTTGTTGTTGTGATTATAATTATTCTGTCACTTTGCATGTACACTGAGAGCTTCTGCATTGGAGACAAATGCCTTATATGTCTAATCACACTTGGCCAAATAAAGTATTCAATTCAGTTCAAAAAAGAGGCAGGACCAGTTTATCTCACTGATGTGAATAAGCAGATAGTGGTCCAAGATACACCCAATCTATGCACAGGGAGATATACAGAAAGCATTTATTACCATGAATTCCAAGAGGGATGGTGGTAAGAAATCCCATGAGACGGGGAGAGAGGCCCAACACTACGCATGCCAATGCCCCAATCCACACTGAGCGATATGAGGTAGCCTGAATATGGAAAACAGAATGAAAGCTCATCTCCTACTAAGTTGGCCTCATGGATGTTACCTCACAGATCTCTCTACATGCCATTAAACTAAATTGAAGCTCAGAGTAAAAGGGCTCCATTAAATGAAACAAACAGGAAAAAAATCCCTTCAGATGTATGATACTCGCATTCATTTGGAAACAGATTTTTCAGCATGTGTCATACTGTGTGTGAATCTTACTTTGTACAAGTAGTCCTCAACTTACAACAGTTCGTTTAGTGACTGTTCAAAGTTACAATGGCACTGTAAAAAGTGACTTATGATCATTTTTCATACTTATGACCGATGCCGCATCCCCATGATCATGTGATTTACATTCAGATACTTGGCAGATGACTCATATTTATGACGGTTGCAGTGTCCCAGGTCATATGATCAACTACTCACAAGCCAAGTCAATGGGGAAGCCAGATTCATTTAACAACCATGTTACTAATTTAACAACTGCAGTGATTCACTCAACAAATATGGCCAAAAAAAAGTCATAAAATGGGGCAAAACTCACCTAACAAATTTCTCATTTAGCAACATAAGTATTGGACTCAATTGTGGTCGTACGTTGAGGACTACCTGTACTTCTCTGGCATTTCCCATTCGCCCCAATATCTGGATGGGCTCAGATGTTCTTCCTCCTGGAGCTCAAATTGTGGAAATCCCATGAACACCCTAACTCAATCATGCTCCTCCTAGTTATTGTGAAGTTAAAAACTGGAGAGAGATTCAATATTAAATTGACTTGAATTCCCAAAAGAAAAATAGATTATAACTATAGTATCATGATTTAATAAAATACAGTTCATTCAATAAAGTAAGTAGTATGTACAGCTCAATGAACATGGCAAGCCCAAAGTGAAAGAAACCAAAAGGAATAAATTGCTTTGTCTATTCTTAGGAGAAAAATGTAAAGAAATGGAGTCATTATCTAGCTGAATGTCTGTGTTCATATAAGATATTTAGACTTGGGTGCGTTCACACAACACTTACCAAGAACTGTAGCCTATAAACCACGAATCTATGGACTCCTAAAACATTCTAAGTCACAAAAGGTGAACTGTATTAAGGCTTAGCTTGTTGTATGAACCTAGCCACCATATCTCCATACACAAATGAAGAATATTATAGGCTGTTTCTGAAACTGGGCTGATGTCCCCAATCTTTAAGGGCATTGATTTTCATGTGAGATCTCTGCATTGTGCAATCCCATGGCCCCAACCCATACTGGTACCTGAGTCAAGCTGCTGGCACAGGCATTGGACATACTGGAGGCAGTTCCAGACATGCTTCCCAGCAAAGCTGATAGGAGACTGCCAAGACCCTCAGCACAGAGTCCTCTGTTACATGAATGCCGCAGTGGGGGTGGATTCTTTAGGGTTTTGCTGCACAGCAGGTAGCAGCCTATGGAGTTCACACTTGCAGTAACCCCCATAGCAGCACCAATACCAATTGCATGGGTGCTAAGCACTGGCCAGCCCTGCTCACCTGGAATAGAGAGAAGAATTGGAATTTGAAGATTAGCACAAGGGAAAAGCAGAGTCTGGCTTGGCCAACTCACTAACCTGGGTAAGGTATTTTGAACCATGGGGACTGCAGAGTGCTGTTGCTGAGGTTAAGATGTTGTGTGGAAGGATGCAAACCGTCCCAAGGGAAGGCAACAGGTCTAAGAATCCAACAGATAACCCAGATGCTAGAGAATGGCAGCAGAACCTGCAGGAAATATAGAGTGAACTCAGGGGTGGGTTTCACTTACCTTTGCTACTGGTTCTGCGCATGCGCAGATCGTATTTGATGATGTCCGGGAGGTGGGCGGAGCCTCCTGCAGCCGCTCCTACTTGGTTGACTCAAACCAAGGCAAACCGGTAGCAACCCACTACTGAGTGAACGTGAGAAGACTCCTTCTCAACATAGAGACTGAGTCTTCAATTTTCTCTCCCCATCTCGTAACTAGGCACGATCCACCCATCTTTAACATAGCATCCTCTGATGGGACCTAACGGGAACCATTCCGGAGGTTTAAGTAGTCCCAATCCTGCTATCCCTTAAATGGACCTTGAAAACATAGCTGTTTCCCCCCATCCTGGATTCAGAGAGGAGAGTCAAATGTGTTACTACATTGGGGATGTTGATCTCCAGGATATCACCTCCTTTCGTTTGTTTTATGGCACTGATGTTTGATTCTTAACTTTTAACTAATAACTCATGAATTGGTACCGAAAACATGTGGAGGGCTGGATCATCAAATGTTACAGAAAGTCCCTTTGTTTGGCTCCACTGGCAGTGAGGCAGTCGACAAGAAGCCAGATGCTGGGATATCAAAATACACAGCAACACAAGCCTGAAAAAGATGGTAGGGTAGGTGAGGTTCTGTAATATACTGCCAAAGGAAGAGGGAACTTGGTCTTACACAGATCTGTCCATACAGGAGCTTTATTCTCTTTAGTTGAAGTGAAAGACACAACAGAAGCATCCTCACACCCAACCTTTTCCCTTTTGCACAAAGAGAATATCTGGGTATTAAGGTATGTATATTTAAAATCCCTATTCTGGTATTAGAGGCAATACATTTAGAGAAATGCCAACCACACAAAAAGAGTCAAGAATATGGAATTTTGCACATCTTGCACCTTGCATTTAAAAGTAAATATGAGGGTAATGGCATATATTTAAATTGGTCTTATATTAGTAGAAGGAAAACCCAAGTTTTAAACTTTGCATGTCAGCCATTACCTCACAAAAAGTTTTGTGGAATTCAAAATGTCATAGGTGAATATTTAAAAATGAGAAACATATTGTATTTTAAGAACACCTGAACTTCAATTTCAGCATTAAGAAGCCCTCTTAGAGCTTTCTGCTGAAAGAACCAATCAGCTGGAATACTCATGCCACTTCTCAGAGAACCTCTGGTTACCACATAATGGTTGGAAAAGGTATCTGATATTTGGCTGGTTTTCTGAAATGAGTTAGGGAAAAAGTGTTGAAGAACCTACAGCACAGCGATTATCCAGTTCTCAGAACAGAAAAGAGCAGCAGGCTTGTAAGCTGAAAGTCCTATAACAGAAAGGCTTGGGGCCAGGACCATGGGGCCACAATGATGGACAATCCATCCACAGGCTCCAGACACTCCCAACAGCATCTGTACTAGACCAGAGACTAGTACTGCACCAGAGATCTGGAGGAGGGAAGAGTGGAAATATTATTAGAGCTATAGGATTTATTAGAAGAAATCCTGTAGAAAAGCCAGAGCAATATAATAATGCAGTACCCCTTCCCAACTTGATTAGTCGAGATGTGTGAAATTCAGCTCCCAAAATTCTGGACATACTATATGGTGATATCTGGTAGCATGCTCAGATTAGGGAAGCAGAGTTAGAATGCTGGTTTAGGACTGAGGGAGGCCTAAATTCAAATCTCCACTTATTATGAACCTCACTGAGTGGATTTTGGCCAGTTACATTTATCCTAACCCATTTCACAGCAGAGGTGAAATCCAGCAGCTTCTGACAGGATCTGGAGAACCGGTAGCGGAAATTTTGAACAGTTTGGAGAACTGGCAGCAGAAATTTTGGGTAGTTTGGAGAACTGGCAAATACCACCTCTGACTGGCGTGGGTGGGGTGGGAATGGGATGGGGTGGGAATGGAGATTTTGCAATATCCTCCCCCCAGGAGTGGGATGGGAATGGAGATTTTGCAGTATCCTTCCCCTGGAGTGGGGTGGGAATGGAGATTTTGCAGTATCCTTTCCCTGCCACGCCCACCAAGCCACAGCATTCCCACCAAGCCACGTCCACAGAACCGGTAGTAAAAAAATTTGGATTTCACCACTGTTTCACTGGGAGTTGTGAGGATGGGGGTGGGGGAATAACAATACCTTCTCATGATTGCTGCTCCATCTTTCTACTTCCATGCAGACAAAATAGATTAACCTGGGGCAGGCAGGGGTGAAATGCTACCTGGTAACGACGGTGGCGGGTGGTTCGGAGAACTGGTA